AAGAGTGAATTTTAATACCATAAAAATCTGAACAACTAATCTTAATATGTCGACGAGAAATGGTATACTTTTTATTAGCTGGCCAATTATAACATGCTAGCCAATTATAATTGGCTGGCAACTAACCTTAAAAAAAAAAAAGCAAGTTATAATTTGCCAGCTACTCTAGGGTTCTTCTCGAAGTATTTTCAAAATATTTGAAGTCTAAATGCGTCGAATTTGAACATGTTCAAGGCTAAAACTTATGCTTTTGTTTTAATAAATAGACTACTCAATTTCACAAATTTTTTTTTTGGAGTGAAGATTATGTTGCATCCATGATTGCATCAATTTGATCGCTGACAAAATGGAAAGGAACTAATTTTGTCAAGGAAAAATGCAAATTATGTCAAGGAAAAATGCAAAAATGAAAACATGTGCATGCCATAGAGCCAAAATTTGAATAGCATTTACTTTCCAACTATGACTGTTTAAATATGATTGATCCCTTGTGTGCTCCCCATATAAACGCAACATATGATATTTGTGCAAGAGTTTTCTTCCCTATGCCTAATTAAGAATAACACAGACTTGTTTATAAACTTGCACCTTTAACCTTTAATCTACTTGGATATTGGCTAATTAATTGGAGATATATACTATATCGGTAAATTCTAACGAAATGTATTTATGTGTCAATCATGTTTGGTCATCCTATGCTCGTGAAAGAGGGCAAGTGCTACCAGCATTAAAGATTGATTAAGAAGAACGAATGAACTTTTTGAACAATCAATCCTTCTTGAACTTGATTATCTTCAATGTTTTTGTATCAACCTTGGTCAAAATCTTGATTCAATTCTACATGGAATTCTGCAATTACATGTAATAGTTTGATTATTGAGAACTTTACATTTATATACCTATAGATAAACATATGGTTAGAAGAAAACCAAGAAAAAAAAAATCATATGAATTACTTTATGGTTTTAAGGAAACAATGCTAATGTCGGCCAATTGTCTAGTCGTCTACAAATAGGTCAAAATCGTGAAGCGACACAAAAATCTCTCCAAACCGCATATTGAATGTCGGAACTACGCAGTCTGTGTTGGCTTTCATATTTCGATCCCTCTCTATAAATCTCTCAAATTCGCACAACTTCCTCTTCCACTACCTTTCCTTTCTCTAAAAATTTCTCCTCTCTCTACTAACGCCAGAAAAAACAAAAAGAAAAAGCTTGCCCTCTCCTCTCACCCTTCTCCCATAGTATTCCTTCCAAAAAAAAATCCCATCATACATTTCTACACCAAAAATTTTTTTAAAAAAAATTAAGAAGGATGGGAGCATGTACAAGCAAGCCTAAAGTGTTGAAGGGTGATGTGCCTGAGGAGAAGGTCAAGGCTCCAGAGCCGGCACCCAAGAAGGTGGTGGTAGAGGAGGAGGAGAAGAAGGACGACGCCGTGGAGAAGGCGGCCGCGGTGGTGGTGGTGGAAGAAGAGGTAAAGAAAGATGAAGATGTAGGCGCTGCTGCTGGTGATGAGAAAGTTACTAGGAGCCGTTCTCTTGGTAACTTGTTTAAGGAGGTATGTCTTCATGAAAATTATAACGTTAATGCATCTGTATAATGCCTGTGTATACTTTTACCATGCAAACATGGTTTTTTTATTTAATTGTGTAGCCATTAATGTAGAGTCAGAAAAAAAGAATTTGACAATTACGTCAAAAAGTGAAAAAAAAATCATGTTTGTATCTTTTTAATTTAAATTCTTCTGATTGTATATTTTGTAGCAATGGAAATTTTAATGTCACATATGAATGAATTTAGCATCTCTAAAGACTATAATGTTATTTTGAAAAATTATACATGTATACTGAATTTCGAAAGAAATCCACGTTTCGAAATTATGTTTTTCATGTCTCTTTGTTTTTTAAGTCTTGTTCGAATAAGAGATATCGAATTTTCCTTTCTTTTTCTTTGATTTTTGAAAAATCATGGAAAAGTCGACAATTGATTGTAGGGGAAATGGAAGATGTGGGTTATTTTAAATTTCTATTTCTCAGCAATTTAATGTATGGAGACTTTAATCTTTCTTTTCCCTTCGTACAAATTGAGAGGTAAAAATACATTTAACCCGTTGGCTTTGTTACCTTTTCTTTGTCTGTTAAATTTAGTAAGTAAATGCCTTTACAATCAAGAATTTTAAATTTTATCTACTTACTCTATTAAAGTTTGGAAGATTTTTTTTCCCACGTTAATACATATTCTTTCCTATTTTGGCGGTGGAAAATTAGATGTCTTTTTTTCCCCCAAAGCCATAGAAAATACACATAAATCTAGTTAGTATAGAATACAACCAATTGCACATGATTAGACTAGCACAGCCAAATTCTTTTCTTTTTTTTTTTTTTTTTGCTTTTAGTTTCATTTGACTAATAATTGACATACTTTGGTAATTATGACCTTTGATAGTGCGTTGGGTCGACTATCTTTTCTCCGAGAGGATACCAATTGGTTTTCATCACCTTTTCCCTATTGTGGTTAATTATACCACAAGTTCTTGGAATTTGAACCTAATCATTTCATTAGGATAGTGTAATTATTTGATTAATAATGGCTTAACGACTATTATTCACAGAAAATGGCTCTTAAGGTCTTTTAAGATCTTTTTTGCTTTTCAAGTTTAGGGTTCAGATTTTACGCCTTGAAAAATAATAATAGGAAACGGATGGAAAGGATTAGAAAAAAAAAAAAAAGACCATTATTCAAGGTGGCCCATCTATTTCTTTAGCCTTTGTTGAATGGTGTGAGATTCTGTCTGGTTCATGCACCCTTACCAAAGACTCTCAACATCCAACTTGATTTTGCAACTTTATCACTGTAAATTGTTTCTTTTTCGTTGTTTGGCTATGGCCCATCAATTTTTTTAATCTACATATAACTATTAATTCCAAGAATCCTTTTGATCTGTAAAATCTTGATTGATATGTTCCTGTTTAAGCAATATGTTACTTACATACATCTTCATACGTATGAAATCATTAGACTATCTCATACTTCCATAATTTTTTCTGAAAATTGGAGTAATTGCCAAGCAATATACTACAAGTTCTTCAAAGTGTCAAAAATCTGTTTGGATTGGTCATTTTTTCAAAAACAAAATTTTCAAATACAATACTGTAGAATACACAATAATTCAAAAAACATCTCATCTATACAATATATCAAATACTTCAAAAGAATTTTATGGTAAAAATTTTTCATATACACTGTTACAATAAAATTTTTCAAAAACACCCCCAAAAACAGCTAATCTAAACGAAAATTTTCTACATTTTTTTGTGGGCAAAGTTTGATTAGCCTATTTTTACTATCGGGTCTTTCTAAAATTCAATAAACATGATTAATACCATGAGATCACAATATATAATAGTAGGATTTTCATTACTCAATATGTGTAATAGTTTTTTTTTTTAATTTTTGATGGTAAGATATTCATTCCCCCTTTACAAGATCACGGAGAATTTCCTGTACTGAAAGGAATGCTGCTAGGACCCACTATTGGTCTCTTCTCCTTTGTTGCCCAATGAATATTCACTTGTGAAAAGAATTAATGTTCCTAGGATTATCTGTCTTTTGTTGCTTTATTTCCCTTAATGTTCCCTATGTCTTTGGCCATGTTGGACAGATCCTATTTGTCTTGTTTCTAATTTTGAGTAATTTCAAGATCCCACTTGGTCAATTCTTCAATAGCAAAAGTACAATTGATCCACTTACATTCCATAGTACAGTAAAAAAAAATTAAGATTTTTTGGCTAAATTTTTGTACATGAGGATAGTATTAGGACAATTGCGCTTGGAATAATAATTAATAAATGGAATTTGAAAATTTTATTGTAACTCTGAAATTTTATTTGCAGAACCAAGAGAGGAAAGAATCATCTGAGAATGAAGCTGTAAAAGAATCTGTTGGGTCTGAAGTCAAGCCAACAGAAGCTGAAACAGTCGAAGAGGTCCAGCCTGAGGAGGTAAAACCAGCTGCAACAGAGCAAGTTGCTGCTCCAGTGGTTGATGCCCCTGCAAAGGAGGTCCAACCTGAGGAGGTAAATCCAACTGCAGAGGCCAAAGATGCTGTAAAATCAGATGAGACGCCTGAAGAGAAATCTGAAAAATCAGAGGAGAAGAAACAAGAAGAATCTCAGCCTGCTATCGTGACAGGAAAGGATGAGAAGTGAAATGGAGCAGTCTGCTGTTGTGATGAATGTTAGAATATGATTAGGAAAGCCTTGATGAAAAGTACTTCAAGGTAACAGGATAAAACAATGAATGTTTTTCGGAGTTTGTGGTGGAAAATAGTTTTGCTCAATGAACCTCATTTTCATTTTACTTTTCTGATGCAAGTTTTTGTGAATGTTCTTCGCTGTGATTGCAACTTGAAGATACTGTAGGATTAGAGATTTGTTCTCCCTGGTTACCGACTAAGCAGCCATAAACCCCAACTTTCTTTCCAGTGACGCGGCATTTTCGGGGACCAGCCTCCTTCCTTTTCCTCATGCTGACAATGAGGTTTCCCTATTTTTCTTATGTTAAACCCAAGAATACATAAGACCAAGGTGTTAGAGTAACATTGAGCAGGATAAGACACCAATAAAATAATAAGTCCAATCTGTTAGATAGCGAATTGATATCCAAGAATTTTAGCAGGCTAGAGTGTTTTCTCTGACCTCATCGATGAGATTTCTACATAACTTCTAGTTAGGCCAGAGTGAGGAGCGATTGAGGAGGCATTAAATCCTAAAAGCTGCTGTTTATCCCTCATTACCTAGGATGTATTTCAAGAATTAATCAGGGGTTTTTCCTTTTCTTCCATACATAAGTCAAGAGTTGATAAAAGTTTAAGAGGCATCGATAAGGATAACTTTGTGGCCTTCAATGAGATTTTGTAGCTCAGTGCTTGAGCTGAAAGAAGGAAGAACGCAAAAGCAAAACACTTAAAGCAATTGCGCAAATTCCGCAATCAAGGGCAATGATAAGTCTTCAGGATAGTTTACATTGAGAAGCTAAGAAATGTGCTGATAAGTGGCTCTTCATCTTTCGAATAACAGAAGCAGAATTCAGACCCGTTTGCTTACTGTTTTAACAGAAAATGCTAAGACAAAAAGAGGAAAAAGAAAAGGATACAGTGGCACAGCAATGTTCAATCAATTCCTGGCAATGATGACTGAGCTTGTAAAACATGTTCATGCTTAAATTGTTGATGAACCCCATTTGTTTGATATGGGAGGAGCAGCCTGGCTACCATCGGTTACTTCATCCCTCCTGCTTTCAGTTTCTCCATCTTGAGATGCAGTTGCCTCCTTGCCTTTACCCCAGATCACAAGGCAAAGGCCTATTGTGATGATGATGGATCCTATCAAGCTGTTATACAAGATTATCGAGGATTAATTCAAGTCGGATATAACAGTTTGATTAAAACATAAAAATGTTTCAATGGAAAGATAGATGTGCTATAGATCATCACCTTCCCAGACACAGCTCCTCTTTTAGAAAGAGGGATCCAGCAAGGGCAGTGAATACTAGTCCCAAAGGACTGAAAGAAGACACGAATAAAGGGCCTTTCATCATTGAGCTCCAGAAAACTGCAGCCACACATAGTCCAGAACTAACAATTCCCTGCCAGAAAGATTGTACAATGAAGATTTCAGAAAGATTTCAGGTGACAAACAGTAAGACGAACTGACATTCGAAAGCCATTGCTTGCTAAGGCAGGAATACCAAAGCCATTATTGAGATGTTAGGTTGTTCAAGTATGTATTTTATGACAGTGACAATCAAGTGCCTCATCAAGAAGCTTCAAAACTAGAAACCATACCAAATAAGCAACAGCTAGGAGTCTACAATCCCATCCAAGCATCCATGAAGACAATTCCCTCTCAGTACATATTGCAAGAACACCAGTCAGGATTGATCCAGTGAAACACATCACTGCAATACTTGAATAGCATGGGTAACTATGGCTCATCTTAGTCTAATCACAATAGGAAAAGCCTTGCCGTTAGAGATGTTTTAGCTGATGAATTATTGTGCTCTATGTAATTGGAGCATAATTACCTGAATAACTAACCAAATTGCAAATGACAAACAACTCAATAAGGCCAGCAAAGAGCCTACGACATTATTAGATGGAACTGATGCATGATTGTGGAGAGGAATTATGTCAACATGCTGTGACAATATTTTGATCTTCTTCCCTTTAACAAAAGTCAGAATCATTGCTCCACCACTGCCCAAGACAGTCCCAAGAACTTTGGCTTTTCCAGCAGAGTTTCTAACATCCAATTTCTCCAACCTAAGGATTAATGATGAATAGGTGATTATGATATTATCTTGTTAACCATAGCAGAAGAAGGATCCACATATTTGAAATTCAATTATGATCAATCTCAACACTTTTATAAGATATGACTCTGTAAAGCTCAGTTAGTGCATATTTGAATTCTGACTAACTTCCCTAGGAGTTTCTGTGAAGAGTTTACTTAAAAAGTTTTATATCTCAGGCTGAGAAAATGGTAAGGAATGAGACTTTACTAGGGTTCTGAAATTAAATAAAACATTGAGATCTTCAATTCACGTTCTATTTGAATGGGTTCCAAAAGCTATATACTGCCAGTTCAAACGCTACGAGAGAAAACTAATCAAGAGCTTATATATGCAGAACCTGGCAATAAATACAAGTCTGGATAAGATCAATGTGATCAATTGATGAAGAAGGTGCAAGAAGAAGAAAACAAATCTCTGCAAGTGTGACTGGAGATAGGCCAATCACTACATAAACTGTAGTGCAGTCCTTTCTGAATAACATATGAGCATTTTTAACAACTCAAGGCAGAAATACCTGAATATTAGGGCCAACACTAATGTGAAGCCTGGAATGAGGTTGAACATTGCTGTCACAAAAGTTGCTGATGTTAGCGACATGCTTTTAACGTATAAATAGTTGCCTAGCGTTGCTCTGCAGTCAGCACAGAGTAAAATTCTCAGTAAATTCTACTACTTGGAAATGAGTTTGTTCTTCAAATCTTATCAGATGCAAATGCACTTTATTAGATATAAATGGAAGGAAATCAAAAAAATCATTTTCAGAATCAATAAGGAAACCAGGCCTATTAGGACGTAGAAATGGTAATCTGGGAAATTCTTGATTACTTTGTTCTCAAATAAATCACCAAGGAACTAATGTTAGATATGCACAGAATTCTGTACTTGATCCAAATTTTTCATTGTTTTCTTGAGAAGTTCAGTGTGCATGCAAGAAGATAATGTGCTCATATTCTGCAAAAGCTTTGTGACTGTTACCCAAATAAAGCACTCAGGAATCCATCAAGAGCTATCATCCAGGTGAACCTTGGTCTACAATTTCTGTAAAATAAACATAGAGCTTATCAGTGAAGAAACTTCTTTCCTGTTTAATCTAGATTACTGTTTACAAAACACTGAATGCTACATATTTCTGCACTGCATGCACTAGACAGGGTCCTAATCTATGGAATGCATCCCATCAACTACTTTTCAACTATCACAGATGGAAAAGGAAACTTGAAATCTGTTGCCACCACGAAAACAAAGCACTTACATCAATTAGGGAAGAAAAGAGATCATTTTGTACCTCTCAGTGAAAAAAGCAATAGGAGCCATGAAAACTGTGGCAAACAGCAATTTGTAAAGGATTATAGTCTGGATACCCATACCATTAGCCATTGCAATTTTGTACATGAAATTAGAACCTGTAGATGCTACTTGAACTATGACCATCACCACTGCTGGTTTTAGCTCTTCTGAGATGAAGCATACATTCCTTGCCATTCTTTCTACCACAGCGTGCACTCCAAACAGAAATTGTTAGGAAATACGAAACGAGATCAGTAAAATACTTTTCATCTTTTTCTAAGCCTACTTATTGGCTCCAGTTGTTTTTATCTATCAAGAAACGTACAAATATGATCTCTGCAACTAGGATATAGGTGGCAAATGCAAAAGGTAGACTTTAACATAATGATCAAAAGTCCTCATTTTGGATAACTTGGATGAAAAAGTAGAATTTCTCTAACTGATATTTACTTATTCCACTAAATATCACTAATTTACTTTTAGGCAAATTAATCACTTTCTTGAGCAAAGCAATAAGCCTAGGCAGTTGCCTTCTAATGACCCTTTTGAGTTCACTTCTCATGGTTGTTTCAAGACATCAAACGTCCATGTAAAACAAGGTGCATCAAAAATGAAATGGTAACTTCTTATTCTAGAAATTTTACACAACATTTCCTCTTTTTCAAGATTCTGCGTAAACGGGTCGTAACCAAGGTACTTTGTTTTTAGAAAATTATAAATAAAATACGTAGGCAATTGCAAACATTTTCACATTTCAGATGTATAGCTAGGAAAAGGCAAATTTTTACGTGAAAGTAAAAAACATTCTGATAAATAGGAGTTGTAATTGCTTATACTTAGTATGTTGATTGAGGTGTTTCAGGAAAGGTTGCTTAGCAGAATGCCTCTGGAGTGAACGTCTCATCATAACTCAACTCCACAAATATACACTAAATGCTGACTATAATTTAAATTAACAAATTAATAACATGCAAAATATTAAAAGTAAATGGAAATTAAGCTTGTTCATTATCTGCAGATTCATGCAGAGTGGCAGCATTAGTCTTACGTCCATCAAAAACCAGGCGCAGTTACGATCCCACATATTCAGAGAGAGCCCAAGTCTATAATTCTAATGGGTAGCTGTTAACTAGTTCATGTATTCTGGGCACCATAAACCAGGCGAGGTGAAGTAAGATCCTTCTGTTCAGCAAAAGCCCAATTCTATGATTCTACGTGCCGTAGCTGCATGGCATCCTAGTGACAATAATTCTGCTTTGCAATTTTTAAGCTTTACAAATAGGCAAGGGAAGGTAAGAAATTGTGCCTTTTTTTTTTTCTCCTAATAAGGGAGAGATGTAATTTAAGAAACGGAGAGGAAAAATGAAGATTAAACCCCAAAACCTTTATATCCTGAAGTCTAACCTTAGCCACTAGAATAAAATTTCTTCGTTGGAAGGGTAAGGGATCGAGTGGTACCAAGTATACCAAATTGATGTCTTGACTATTTACATGTTTGTTCTTACTTAGAAATTTGTCGATGGATATTTCACTATGAATTTGCATTTTGCTTATAGTAATTAATGTTGTTTTCCTAAATAAGCTACATAATGATTTCATTATGTGCAAGAATAAATATAATGGCAAGTAGTTTAAATTAAGGTAAATTATTATTTACCATCCCGTGATTTTGTCTTTTATGACATAATCCCAGTACTGGTCAATAATATTCATTTAATTCCAATGTGGTTTGGTGCAAAGTTGAAAATGCAGAAAGCGTGTTAAAGTTTCAGTTATATCCTTACTTAAATAAAACACAATTAGGATCTAACCACTTTACCTAAAATGATAGGGGAATTATATAGTCAAATGCAAAATTGTAAGGGTATAAGTGGATATTTCACATTTTAGCTATTCCCTGTTTCATGCTTCACACCCGTTTCCAAAATGAGTTGGAATTTGTAACTCGAAATGCTTTCACTCAAATATTCCCATGAAGGGCTTCGTGTATTCCTTGAATCTAAAACAAGTCATTGATAGTTGGGCCGTTTACTGGATCCTTTCAACCCTAACTAAAAAGGTTGTCCATTCTAATGTAATTTCGGATTCTTCAATTTACCAAAATCATACAATGCTCAGAAAGGCAATCTCTAACTTTTTTATTATCTTGTGCACACTGGTTATAATTCACATCAAATGGGAATCAAATACTAAAACGATGGCTGAGAGGTTATAATTCACATCAAATGGGAATTAAGTGCTAATAGAATTATCGATGAGGTCTTGGTCTAGTGGCTAAAGTTCAGATCTCAAGAATTAAAAGTTTTAGATTCAAATCTCCTACCCCCTTGTCACTTCTTGAGTTCCATCATTCCCTTAGAAAATTTTTTTAAAAAGATTACTAATAGGACATAATGCTTCTTAAAGGTTCTTCGTTTTATGGTATAACTACATAAAAGAAAAATTTTATAGTATAACTATACTGGCACAAATTACGTAAATATATTTGAACTAATTAGAAATATTTGATTGGAAGAATATATGTGGTTAATTTAACATTCTTGATTAACCTTATAATCGTTCAAAAATAAGCTTTACTTGAAAGTTATATTATGCCAATGAATATGATTTGGAAAGTTAAAGGTTCACCAAATACGAATTTTGATGGGGTAGATAGATCGCTCTAATTCAAGAAAAAGCAAAGAAAATTTTGTGAAAAAATTCGTTTATCATTTATAACATATTGGATAAGTAACTTCAATTGTCCCTCAACTTTTACCAATGGTATTATTTGGCCCTTCAGCTTTTAAAAGTATCTTTTTGGTCCTTAAACTTTGAATTTGGTTTTAATTAGTTTTTTTCTTTTTGTAAGTGGGGAAGGGATGGGTTATAATTAGTTCCTAAGGCCAAATCTAATTAATATATTTTTACTACTAAGATTTAATTTAAAATTAGGTTGGCCCATTCAAAGTTTATAGAGTGATCAAATTTCTCCACATTAGTGATCTGGATGGATATAGATTAGTTACTAACTTGTTTGACAGAAAAAAATGATAAAGCAACTCGAAATCTGTTTGTTCATATTGTGATATAATTGTCATGAATGTGTGCTCTTTTACTATGGGGTTAACTGAATTATTAAAATTCTCGTGATGCTTTTCGCGAAAAAGGATTAATGATGTAGAATTTATCTATCTAAAACCAAAGAGCAAACAACGAAGAAAAATGGAACAAATCAAAATAAGGAAATTCCTATTTAATTTTATTATTTGTCATCTTTTGCTTGTTGAAATTTGTTATATTCTCTGTAGCATTATTAAACAATGAATTGATAAAAAGTAAAAAAAAATAATATCTCTCTTTTATTAATTTCCCTTGAAAATAATCAAATTCATGTTGAATTAGTTTTATGTTTCTATATATTGCTTTCGATTCATTACATTTGAAATCAACTATTCATGATGATAGTTATAGTGACAATTGGGAAAAAAAAAAGGCACCAAAATTTTGCAAAGATTAGGTAATACTGAGCTGGTTATCTGTCAAAGAACAAATATGATTGGGAAAGTTTGACTAGCGTGAGACACAAATATAAAAGCGCCAATAAGTGCTGTCAATTGAAAAAAAAAATGTATATTCAATAATAATAAATCGAAAACATACAATTTTAGTTCTCAGTGTTAGGGAGTTTTTCTGGGCAAATTGATCCTCAAAACTTTTGCCTAAACAAATATAGTTCATGAGGTATTCAACTTTGATCAAATTGGTATATATTGCTTGAGATCCCTGAAATTAGAGGTCATGGATTCAAATTCCCTTCTTAAATCCCACCCTTGCCTCGCTAGAAGAAAAGTTTTCTATATATATATGTATGTATGTATGTATATATACACCTTGTACAATCATATAAGTTTTCTTTTATTATAGTTTCATTTAATATTTTGCATCCTAAAACCTAATATCTTTGTATATCTCGTATGGTTATCTATGACATCTAGGGACAAAACCAGATAATATACTTTGACGAAGCTATTTTTATACACATGCAAACTTTCAGTCAAGACTAATAAAAGTTTTTTTGAAAGTTTTTTTTGGTCTTGAGGGAGGGGGAGTTCAATTTATAAAGGATACTGTTGAAAATTTTCAAAACTTAAGGGGAAAAACATATGATTGGGAAGGACTATGGTTTGGTGGGCGGTTTTCATAGTAGATGTGCCATAATTTGCGTCTTCCAATGTCCAACCTGTTGCACTTTTTCCTTCCACACCCGTCTACTATTTGGTAACCAATCCATTAGGGAATAGGGAGTCCATTTCGAAGTTTACTAGGCCAGGATTTCCCATTCCCTAGTTTCCCGCTGGAGAATAAAATAGTAGTAAAAGAAAAGAGACGGAGTGATGGACCCTATATCCACGCTGCAGCATCGCTTTGGCGAAACAGCAGCTCAATAGTCTCCCTTCACACGCAATACTATACTGCTAGGACTAAAATTTTCTCGTTTCTTTCACGTCTAACAACTCTCTTTCCCAAATCTCCTGTTATCTTGGAGAGGAAATGCAAGTGATACCCAGATGGAGAAGTATATTGATTTTGAGGAATTCAGTGATTCAGTCAACAGCAATTGCATCAACATCAAGAACCCAGCTGGCTGATTTTCATTCTACAACAGTTAGCCTTGAGAGATGGAACAACAAATGGCCTTCTGCCGGTAAAAAGACCCCTGTGAGTATATTTCTTTAGCACCCAGAATATAAGAATCCCATTTCATATATGAGGAAAGCCCTGTTCGTTTTTCATGTTCAGAATCAAAACTTTGCTTCTTCTTATCTGATTACTTACTAATGATGGTTCTTAGGTGGTGATGTGCTAAGATATCTTGGTTGCTTGAATATTGGAAT